GAGCCCCCAATAAAATGATTTATATATATATAAAAAGAGTAGCCAGGCAAAAAAGAATAGTGTAGGAATCTAAAACCCAAGGTCATCAAATAGATTCTGTATGAAGTTTCTGAGACTACAAATATTTATGGGAACAGTATGAAGTTTCTGAGACTACAAATATTTATGGGAACAGAAAGCTTCATCTTTCTCCTGTGGGAAGGCTGGTGGGTTTAAACTGCTGACCTGTGATTAATAGCCAAGCTCCTAACCCACAGCCCCATCAGGACTCCTGTGTAGAAATCTCCTTATGTACAATTCTTGGAAATTAATTTATTGTGGTAGAAATCAAATCAGTGGTTGTTGGGGACAGCGGTAGAAGGAGGAATGAATTAGGAAAATATTAGGGGTGATAAAAATGTTCATTATCCTGATTGTGGAATGGTGTCAGATGTATATGCATGTCAAATTATAAGTCCGTGTACTTTAAATATCTACAATTTATTATAAATTGATTTTATCTCAATAAGTTGGAAACAAAATATTTAGGATAGTGAAAGAAGCTTATTATGTTAAATATGTAAAACTGTCAATATATGTGCTGATTAGTGAACTAAAATGAATTAGATTACTCATTTTTTGTGTGTGCTAAAATGTTAAAGTCATGTAAAATTTCAAGCAAAAAGTAATTTTATTATTTTGCTTCTGAGAAGAAAGTAAGACTTTGTAAAATACAACAATAACAATTAAAAATAAAACAGACTTGTTAATATTTCATCATTGGCACTATTAAGTCATCTGTTTATCTATAGCAGATAAACACCTCTCATGAAACACCTTTCACCTATTTTCAAACCAACTAAGTAGAAAATTCTTTCCGTAGCAGTATCATTTGAGCCCAAAATCCCACTTATTAGGGATTTATGCCAAGAAACAATCTGAAAATGTTCCACTGCTGTTCATCAGGTTTCCATGGCCAGTCCCTTAGAAGTGGCCAGCGGATTCTTTCTTTGTAGTCTGCTCTTGAGCATTTAACCACGAGGTGTCGAAGGGATCAGGTATAAGGCATCATCAGAACAAAAAATCTTACCATAGTGAATAATGGGGGGAGTGCGGAGTAGACCCAAAGCCCATTTGTAGGCCACTGGA